ATAAAAATTTAGCTACACAGTTCTCGCCTGTGCATCTCATTTTTAGCGCTCATCTCTTTCTTTCCTTCGCCGAAGCGGGAATTCGAGGCAAAATCGACGGAGTTATCTGCGATATTACGCAAGCGAAGAGAGCGATAGGATCAAATCGATCGAGGCGTATACAAAATTAACTACACAGTTCTCGCCTGTACATTTCAATTTTAGCGCTCATCCTTTTCTTTTCTTTTGCCGACACGGCAATTCGAAGCGACCCTCCGCACTCGGGTCGTCGACGCCGAGAAAAACGGAGACTCGGCGAGCCCTCGACGATCTCTCTCTCTCTCTCTCTCTCTGCCAAGGCGCAAGGTCGCGCGGGCGACTCCGGAGCCGAAGGCGATAAATAGAAGCGGCGCGAGCGCGAGAGCGCGGCGATTGTTCACCACGTCACGTCACATCACGCCTCGCCTCGCCTCGCCTCACCTCGTCTCGCGGTCTGCGCGCGCGATCGGTCCACGTCGGGAGCACCGACGAGTCGACGACGCGCCCGAGGAGAGATCGGCGTGCGTGCATGCCTGCGTGCGTGCGCGCGGACAACGAATATGTGAGCGGACGCGCGTATCGGTCAGTGCGTTGCTGAGAGACGATCGGTGGTGAACGAGAGAAAGAGAGAGAGAGAGAGACGAGCTGCCCCGCGTCGTTCCCGGCGCGCCACACTCCGTTCTCGGCTCTCGGCTGCGAGGGCCTCGACGAGGGACGGCGCCCCGCGGGCGCAAGCCGCGCCGAGGATGTCGTTCGAGGGGAAGTACAACGCGAAGAGCCCGGGTGAGTCGAGCTCGACGTCGCCAGTCGCGCCGGTTTGTTTTCATCCCGCGCGCGGGACTCCGATGTTGTCTCTCTCTGCGCGAGGCCGTTGTACGCCTGCTGATCGCCAGCTGGTCCCTGGCCTCCGATCCCCGCCGAGCTTCTCCGTCGGCGGTCGCGTCGACGCGCGGCTGTCCCGCGGTTACGTGGTTAGACGAGGCACCTTATGTATTGCATCCTGTAGCGCGTCGATATCCTCGAATGAGAACGCCAGCTCGCGTCCGCCACCCCCTTATCAAACGCTGCAAACAGTATATTTGTATAAGTGCGGCGAGGGCCGTTATCTCATTAAAAATATGTGTCGTCTTAGCGGTGAAGAGGTTAATGAGGGAGGCGCAGGAGCTGCACGAAGCTACCGAGGAGTATTACGCGTCTCCCCTGGAGGACAATCTGTTCGAGTGGCACTTCACGGTGCAGGGACCGCCGTCCACGGACTTCGAGGGTGGCGTTTATCATGGGAGAATCCTGCTACCACCAGAGTACCCTATGAAGCCGCCGAATATCATCCTGTTGACAGTGAGTTGGACATCAGGCACGTGTTACGTTAGAAAGCTCCATTATACACATATGTTTTCCTTTTGTTTAGCCGAACGGACGGTTTGAGATCAACAAGAAGATATGCCTGAGCATCTCTGGCCATCACCCTGAAACGTGGCAACCGTCGTGGAGTATTAGAACGGCGTTGCTGGCTCTGATAGCTTTCATGCCCACGCCCGGGAGCGGCACGATTGGAGCGTTGGATTACAGCACGGAGGAACGGCAGAAGCTTGCTGAAAAGTACAGACATGGTCCTTGATTGAAACACTGCGCTGCCAAAACAACGTGGACTCTTGTAATCAAGCCTTACGTTTTAGATCACTCAACTGGCAGTGCGATACGTGTGGTAAAGTCATGAACTTGTTATCCAAGAACTCCGTGAAGAGACCCATCACCGAGGAGGAGCAAACTATGTTGAAAACAATTGCTCTCAAAGTAAGCGATTATGTTTAAAATAGGCGACATCTATTAGAAACTTATATACAGTTGAACGTACATTGTTGCGCAGTGTGTGAACATCTCGCTGTCACGAGAATCACAGGTCACGTTTTGCAAAGACTCAATAAAAGTCTGTAAAACAAAATTGTTATAGGCTGACGACTCACCTACGTCGGATGTGTTGTTCACGGATAACATGGCAAGTGTATCCGAGAGCGAGATACGGCATCGTAACGTGGAGCCGATTCCGGCAGAAAATGCAGACCGCCAGCAACCTGAAATTATCCTAAATCACGTAGAGACAATGTCGTCTTCGAACGATTTATTTTGGAGTATTCTCATCGCTTCTTTAGTGTCCGCAATTATTTTGTTAATTTTACGACGGTTATTTCTGGTTTAACTTATTCGAATTTCTCTGCAAAGCACAGGAGAGCAGTAAATTGTATATTGTCATATGAGAAATATAAATATTACGAACCACCTAAGTTTTTCATGAAAACATGTGTAATACATGACGAAAGTATACATGCATTAGTATATATTAGTACATCCACGTTGTTCCTACGAGCATTTGTCTTACACATCCCAGGTTTTCATTTCGTTGCCAAAATGAGAAGTTAAGATCAATAAATTCTCAATCCAATTATTAATTTACGCATACTAGTCGCTTGTCCATGTTAATATTTAAAAATTAATCATTATTTATCTAACATTAATCTCATAAATTTGATCTTAGTATATTAAATAACACTGATCTTAAATTATAGACTAGCGTGTATTAGTTATGGTTAATAATAAATTTTGTTTATTTTGATTATTATTATTCTCAAATAGTTTCTTGTGTTTGCCCATATACATTTATATATGAAAAAATACAAACTCATATAATTATTATATTGTTTTTACCGGTAAATTTACATTGTGTAATATATATATAGCCTAATATGATACTATTTTGTAATAAATATAAGCTATACAAATATGTCTGTGTAACTCTACTAGCTTTCATACACTTTTCATATGTGTATAGCTACTGTAATAAAATTTAACGTGTAACATAATTCATTAGAGAAAGAGGATCTAGAGCAGGACTTCGTCTAAATTCACTGTTTTGTATGTACATAGAAATATAATAAAGTAATTATTTATTAAAGCATATATAATATAAACATATTACTTTGTAACAATTTATTACAGTTCGTAGTGTAGCGATATTCCTAGATTCCACATTCCGTTTTGTGCATTCATTGAATTACATCTCTTTACACTTTTGGTTGATATGACGCATGTTTTTAGAGTGCTTATTTCTAACGTTCAAATATTAAAAAAAAAAGAGTACATTTCTTAAACCTATGTGAGGCATATTTTATATAATGACATAATAGAAATGTATTTAAAACGATGTTAAATGAAACGTAAGTAACACAGTCATAAACTATAGCAAACTTCATAATCTTTTATTATCTATATTAAGGCATTCTACACTCGTCCTTTACACAGTAACAGTTTTCCTCCTTACATGATTTACATTACAATAAAATAATTCCTATCAGACACTTTCTTCTTTTGTACATTCGCTACCTTTCTAAATTATACGATCTGTTGATGTGTGTACTTAAAATTGTACGTACCTCTCAGATTTACATCTAATATCAATAGCTTGAAAATGACATAAAAAATAATATGAGATGTAATAGAATCTCTCTTGTATAGGTATCTCTTGTATTTGCATTATTTAAACAATCTATTGTTTCAATGTATAATATACTACCTTAAACGTCAAAACGAATCATTTAAGTGCACATATATATTAAAAGTCGAAAATAGAGACGTATGGCACATGATTATTTCGTAAAAGATAATTTATTGTCATACGGAAGCTGCGTGAGGCAAAAGCGAAACTAAGGCTCGATACCGCTACAGTTTATGATTAAAGTCAACGGCACACGATACTATTTTTCCTACTGGATTGCTTACGAGAGTCAATCAGGATTTAGTCTTAAGTCACTGATCTAAAACTCTGCATCCTTATTGGTTCTCGTAAACAATCCAGTAGAAAAAAAATAGCATCGTGTGCCGCTGGCTCAAGTTCAATTTCCCTTAAGCAAGCAAATACTTTAGGTAAAAATTGGAAACAAGAAACTATACCTTTTACTTGCGTATACAATTGTTGTACACATGCATCTACTGTAAATAATTTTTCTTCGTTTCGATTTGACGTAATTCCTTTTTGTGCTACAGATTGTAAGATACTCTACACAATATGTAGATAATCGCGTCAGACCTCTGTATAGGTAACATATCCTAAGTTGTACAGTACACATTTTTGAAACGATATAAACGTTATATTGTTTCAAGAATAGTAATATCGAAATAATGTAATCTCTTTGCAAGTATAGAGTATCTGCGTGTGTGTGTTTTAACTCCATCATGAATGTTTATAATACAAAAATACAAACAATATATCCCGTTAGTGGCAATTGGATCGTTTATCAGCTAGTATCAACGTTAGTCCATTCACCTGTCTCTTTCAGAGCTTTGTCCGTTAATCTCTCTATCTCGGTTAAAAGTTGCTCAGTCTCCATATCGACACATACCATATCCGGTTCCACCGGGTCCCATTCTAAGCTGTTTGGACTCGAAACTCTGGACCAGGGAGATGCCGTCAGGCTAGAGGGTTGGCTATTATTAGCCGACGTCTGCGTCAGAGAATACTCCGTGTCTCCCCTTTCGTCTTCCACGGCTGGTAACGGCATCCCTGCGCGGGTACAATTCGCCTGTGTATCGTCAGATTTGTAAAAATGATAAATGAAACGTAATGGATTACCCTCGTGTTCCCACTCGAGGTCCAGCGATGATCCCGGAGTGGACGAGATGTAAGCCTGTTGTTTCATCAGTGTCCTTGCGTCAAGTACTTGAAGCGACACATCCAAGCCAGAACTGAAAATAATTACGTCATCAGTTAGTTTTTCACGCGCGCGACAATCCCGGGATCATTATCGAAGTTGAGTAATCACGCGGCTCACCTCGTAGAACCGTCATTCCTGGAACTCAGTCTGGCGTACTTGTTGCCACCTCTCGACCACCTTCCGTCCTCCAACAATTCCAGAGTCACCGGCACTCCATGTTTTTTCTGCGATACAAATAACAAGCGATTTCACAAAACGTTTCTTGCGAAGGGAAATGCAACGAGCCTCTCTCTAATGTTCTTATCTTCTTGCGCTAAATGAAACGTAGGATATACATTTACCTTGAATCTTTTTAAAGAGAGGAACGATAAGAGACTGTATCCAGTAAGCATGACAGACAAAGTAACGTTAATATCACTAGTCTATGGCCGGTATTTATAGACGGATCTTATATTCAACATCGTCTTGTACTTATCTAAAGATGAGTCTTGAATAGAAGATCTGACCATGAATATGAGTACTGGCCTACATTAAAGTTGAAACGATAAAAAGAATTGTTAGATGACTTAAATCCAACGCGCAGCTTTTATGGAATAGCTGCAAGTTGATTGGCCACACGTTTCTCGAAACTAGAACTTGGACCAAGTTCTGGCATCGTGGACACAGGCCTTTAGAAGGCAGGTCCATCCGACGTAACGACCACAATAGGATCTACAAGAGCGTCTAAAGTCGTCTAACAATTCTTTTTATCGTTAATCAACTACTGGCGATTCCCATACGTTCGTTGTTAAAGTTAGAAACTGACGTTCAATACCTTTTTGATCCTTTAGCTTGGTCTTCGTGCCCTTCGACGTCCACGAACTAAACAGAAGACAGCAGAGTTATTTCCTGCTAGCGAGAGTTTGTAAAACGAGCTTGAATACATACCTCAACTTGTTCTTCTTCTTGGAAAGACATTCTGGTATGCCTTTGATAGAACCTGGACATACAGGAAAACAGTGAGACGACACGCTCCCTTGTCAGACTTACAATGTGTCGGGGAGACTCTTGTACATAGGATTCAATACTTTTTTCTTAACTCATTCATTCGCAGTGCGCAAACTTCAGTTGTGCACTCCCGAGTCGAGTATTTGGTCCCGGAATGGGCCTCAATTATTCTATTCTGTCTTCGCTTGGACCTCGGAGTCTGTTTGAAAGTTCAATTTGAGGCCCGGATGAGTAAAAACATTGTGTTCGACCGCATTCTAAACCTCAAAGAGAATGCAATAAAATGTTTCACCCTCTCAGGCCGAAGAGGATCTACCGAACCTCTGTTCATCGCACTCGCATTGGCCTCTTTACCGCTGAAGGGGGAAACAGCGACTCTTCCCAGGCCTATCTGAGGTCAAAAATTCAGCAAATGTATTTTTCTCCGACAAAAAGACCTTAGTTCGAGCTCGTTGCTCCCAATTGAAAAATTATACGAGGCTAAGCCGAGGCCAAAATATTCGACTCGAGTTAATACAGCTGTGATGACTCATACGACTAAAACAATGAGTCGTAGATACGATCCCTTTATTTAAAATCGCGCCCTTAAAAGAAAACTTGTCAGGTTCAACTGTCAGATACTCTAGCAGCCGAGGAGCTTTCGAGACCTGGCCCAATTCTAACCTGTATGGCACGGAATCTGTGACTTTCGTTAAACAGCGGCCGAGACAGGCCCCCATGACCTGCCAGCCCACGGCGCCGCGCCGTCATCTAATTGATATGGGTGTTCGGAGACCAGCGTTTAACTCCGCGCGACACGACGGGAACGACGGCGTTCCTCCACCAGGTGTTGGCCCGGCGTCGACGCTGGTCGCGACCGCTCATCGCTTCCGCGCCATGGATGTAAAAGGGAGGAAAAAGCGCCCGGAACGCCTGAACCAGCTGTTACACCACACGCGCGCGAGATTGGAAACGAATGTAGGTGGGAAAGACGGCGAGGTGCGCTATATTGTTGAAACATATGTCGAGTATTGTTGGCGAAAATCCGCGCGAAATTCGATATTCCGCTCTCTCGGAAAAGCGCATGACAGATTTACTATTTTTTTCTCTCTTCTCGTTTTCGCAATGCTGATTAGTTCTCTGCACGGTTTGCATTGCGAAAGGATAATGTTCTGTCAGTGCGAAATTCGTGTTTTATAATTAGAAATTTTTTCTTAGAATTTTCATATACGCTGAAAACCCTAAGAGACGCGTTTCTAAAATTTTAAGTTTGAATATCTCACAATTAGATTTAAATATTGTTGTACTTTCGTCATTTCCTATTTACTCGTAACTATATCCCAGTTCTCTTCTTTGTACTTTAAGTCCTTAAATTTGAAACTCTTAGTGCCGATTTACAGTAGGGATTTAAACCCTAAGCCTAAAGAAATTAACTGATCGCAGTCGCGTATT